TGTGGCCAGGGGTTCGAGGTGGGGTTGGAGAGAGAAGTACTGTCTTAATGTCTTTAAAAGGAACAGCTGAGGGGCGCCTGGGTGGTTTAGTCGGTTAAGCATCCAACTTTCGCTTGGGTGATGACCTCACGGTTCGTGGGTTCGGGCCCCGCGTCGGGCTCTGTGCTGACTGCCAGCTCAGAGCCTGAAGCCTGTTTCAATCTGTGACTCCCTCTCTCTCTGACCCTCCCCTGCTCACACTGTCTCTCTCTTTCTCCTAGAAATAAATAAAAAACATTTAAAAATTTTTTTTAAAAATAAAAGGAACAGCTGGGACCCCCAAATCTCTTTCACTATGCTGCCCAGCCAGGCACCTGTCCCTCTGTGACACTCATAGACAATGGGAGGTTTACTTCCCAGAGAGGTTGAACAATAGATACGGTAGGTGGGGACACCTGGGTCTTCAGAGATGCACTCCAGGCGTGACCCAGGGAAGGCGTGGCACTGAAAGCAAGCGACAGTCTGCATTCTGAATGGAGAGAGTCCCTACTCCCTGCCTGGCTCCAACGTGGTTTCCAGAACCCAGGCCCAGACTTCCATTCCCCTGGCAGGAAAACGGAGGCTGCTTTTTGGGGAACACTGACCAGCAGAAGAGAAAATATCTATAGATACTGACATTTGGGGAACTCCCCCCTTTGACCCCCGAGACAGCAGGTTTGGATCTGATCAACCACACAGAGACTCTCTCTCTGAGACGAGCCTCCCCCTCGGCCACAGAGCTTCCCTAAGTACTTTAGTCCTTCATGAATGGAAAGCCAAAATCATCAGGCACGTGAGGAGTGCTTCTAACCTGAAAAGGGGGGCTCGAAAACAGGCTGAGAAAGTAACCCCAACAAGATAGAGACAATGCAAGTTGGAAAAGACAACTCCAGAAGACTCCAGTATTTCAGGGAGATAAAAGACAGTGTGTTGTGCTAGACTGTTACATTGCTGGCCTCCAGTGAACTCTAACTCCTGGTAAATAGGCTCTTGTCTCTTCCCCATTGCTTTTGGGCTTGGTCATGTGACTTGCTTTGGCCAAAGAGACATTAACAAGTGGGGCGCAAGCAGGGATTTATCAGGCCTTGCGCGCTGGGCTTCTCCTGTTAAAACACTTATAATCTTTGTGATCTTGGGCAAGCGTGGTGGTTTTAAAATAGGTCTACAAATTCTTGGATATGTCTCCCTTCAAAAGGTGGAGCCTCATTTTGTTCCCAGAGAATGCTGGCCTTACTTTGTGACTTGATTCTAATGAAAAAAATATGGCAGACATAACGGTATGATAGGTGATTTCCAAGCCCAGGTTGTGAGATCCATTGTGAAATCTCCATTTCCTCTCTCAGTTCAGTCACTCAGGGAGAAGCCAACTGCCATGTTGTAAGGACACACAAGCAACACTGGAGACGTCCACACAGTGAGGAACGGAGGCCTCCCGCCTCCAGCCATGTGAATGAGCCTGGAAGCAAGTCCTCTGACCCCAGCTAAGCCTTCAGATAATTATAGACCTGGCAAACATCTTCATTTGCAACCTCATGCGAGAGTGGCTTTCACATTCCTGACTCTCAAAGACAGAGAGATAATAAATATGCATTGTTGGGGTGCCTGGGTGGCTCAGTTGGTTGAACGTCTGACTTCGGCTCAGGTCATGATCTTGCGTTCGTGGGTTTGAGACCCGCCTTGGGCTCTGCACTAACAGCTCAGAGCCTGGGGCCTAGTGCCTGCTTCCGATTCTGGGTCTCCCTCTCTCTTTGCCCCTTCCCTACTCGTGCTCTGTCTCCCTCTCTCTTTCGAAAGTCAACAAACATCACGAAATATGCATTGTTTTAAGCACAAGTTTTGGAGTAATTTGTTACGTAGCAATATATAACTAATACAGCAAGTTATTCCACTTTTTGAGCCTCAGTTCCCCTTCCGTAAAATGGATATAATAATGGAGGCTACTGGTATAGGGTTGCTGTCAGGAATACATGAAGCAGTGGTGTACCTCAATTACAAAAAGAGTGAGACACTGGACCCGAGTTGTGGCAGCAATCACTGCTCAGCTGATTCTAAAAGTACTCTGCCAACCTACTTCCCACTTCCTCGAGTTCCTCATTTGGGAGTACATTTCCCCACAGAATGCTAGTTTAAGAAGCAGGTTTTCGTCAAGGCAGTTCAACAGGGAAAGAATAACCTTTTCAACAAACAGTGCCAGGTGAGCCCCTATCTCATTCCATATACAAAAATTAACTTAAAATGGAACAAAGACCTAGAAATAAGAACTAAAACTATAGAAAGAAATATACGCATGAATTTTTGTGATCTTGGCTTAAGCAATGGTTTCTTAGATAGGACACCAAATGCACAAGCAACCAAAGGTGGGGGGTGTGGGGAATCAACAAATAGGACTTCATTGAAATGAAAAACTTTTATGCTTCAATGCACAAGCAACCAAAGGTGGGGGGTGGGGTGGGGAATCAACAAATAGGACTTCATTGAAATGAAAAACTTTTATGCTTCCAAGGATACCATCAAAAAAGTGCAAAGACAACCCACAGAATGAGAGAAATTATTTGCAGATCATCTATCTGATAAGGTTCCACTTTTTGGAATAGTTATAAAGTACACGTAGAATTCAATAAAAAGACAATCCAATTGTAAAATGGGTCAACTATATGAATAGATATTTCTCCCATATCTGTTTGGAGCATTACCAGAAACATGAAAAGATGCTCAACATCGTTAAGTCATTAGGGGAGTGTAAATCAAAACCATAATAAGATACCTCTTCAGACCCACTGGGATGGCTATAATCAAGAAGACAGATAATAACAAGTATTGGCAAAGATGTGGAGAAATTGGAACCCTTATACACCGTTGGTGGGAATGTGAAATGCTGTAGCCACTCTGAAAAACAGCCTGGCAGCTCCCCAAATGGTTAAGTCTAGAGTTACAATATGACCCCGCAATTCCATTCCTGGGTGTATACCCAAGAGAACTGAAAACATATACTCACATGAAACTTGCACAAAAATGTTCATAGCAGTGTGACTCTTATTAGCCCCAAAATAGAAACCATCTAAGTTTCCATCAACTCCTGAATGGATAAAAATGTGGTAGGTATATCCATGCAATGGAACACGATCAGTCATTAAAAGGAATAAAGTACTGGGGTACCTGGGTGGCTCAGTCGTTTGAGCTTCCACCTTCAGCTCAGGTCATGATCTCAAGGTTCGTGAGTTCAAGCCCCACATCAGGCTCTGCGCTGACAGCTCAGAGCCTGGAGTCTGCTTCCAATTCTGTTTCCCTCTCTGCCCCTCCCCTGCTCACACTCCATCTGTCTGTCTCTCCCTCTCTCAAAAATAAAAATTAAAAAAAATTAAAAAAAGAGAGAGAGCTCAAGGAGGGGAGTATGTTGTAATCACAACCTTTGTAAGCTTTATACAGATGTAAACTAGTATCTCACCTTTTCTTTTCCCTGGAAAGTGCCTCCTTTCTTGACATATGCAAAGCATAGAACTTCCAAGGTTGAGCACTTGGTCCCCTCCAACCCTGGGGACTGTCAAAGGTTCTTCTTCCTGAATTCTTGGACACTCACCACAAAATCAGATCCATGTCATGTTCTGGCCCAACCTGACCACCAATCACAATATTTGCTTCACTGTGTAAGTTCCTTCCTTTCCATCTTGACTAAGCAACTGTTTGGCTCTCTCGGTAGTGAGGTAGTAGCTCTTTTATTCAGGCTAAACGCTGAATATTTTGTACCTTCAATTTCCTTATTCACAAAATGGGAATGATGGTAGATATTTGCTGGTATTCATGATTCTCTTTTCAATTCCATCTTGGATATGTTGCAGGCAGAGACAAGGCTGCCTAGAACAAGAGTCCTCAAAGTATGGTCTGGGATCCTTGGGGGTCCCTGAGACCCCTTCCAAGGTTCTGTGAGATTTCCTCTTTTCAAGTTACATCCTTATGTGGGTCTGGGTTTCCTTCACATAGTTGAATCAAAATAATACATCACAACAGTTTGAATGCAGAAACAGATGTGGGGCTCCAGCTGATTTCTATGAAGCACACATTAAAATGTTTGCCAAAATGTAAAACAATGCCACTGTTCTCAGTGATTTCTTTTGGCTTTGGAAAACAGAACTTCTTAAATAAACATATGTCATGTTAACATGTAATTACATTATTTTATAAATTAATGAACATTTTTAAAATTCTCAGTCGTAATTTCTAATACAGCAATTATAAACATGTAATCCACACACACACAGAAGCTCTTCAGGATCCTCAATAATTCTTTGGAATGTAAACTTTGACAGTGAAAAGTTTGAGAACCCCTAGAGGAAAGAATAGCGTTCCAAATCTCGATTTTTCAGGTACCTCGCGTTCTCAACCTTTCCCTGTGCTTCGGTTCCTTTATCTCTAACATAATACTACTGCTTGCGACATGGATAATTATTACTTCTTTTCTTAATGTTTATATGTTCATTAGGTGTGTGTGTAAGGACTGTCTCTGGAAGGATTCACAAGTACACAGCTGGACCCAGTGGTTTACCCGGGAAAGGGAAATTGGGAAACTGGGAGACAGTACTTAACCCTTCAGGTCTGATTGTTTTCCTAATACGTAGCGCGGGCATTGCCCTATATTTAATACGGAGCAATTACAAGTAAACTTACACTTTTGTTTGCATGGCTAGAAAACAGAAGTTGGCTAAAGTAAAGTAGTGTTGACCGGCAAGTTGGGGAAAAAAAAAAAAAAAAGCAAAACCTTAAGTTTTCCGTCCCACCTCCCAGCTGCCGCCAAACACTTCGCGCAGATTCCTACCTACTCATCTCCGACTCGCCCGGCTTCAGTCCCGCCCCGCTCTCGCCCCGCCCCCTCACCCGCCCCGCCCTTCGCCCCTTGCCCCGCCCCCTTCGACGTCACCTCCGCCGACCAGCTTCGCCGAACTCCCTCTGGCTCCCGCCTTCGCCCGCTTCCGGTCGTCGTCGTCGCCGCTGCTGCCGCTTCTGCTGCTGCTGGGGCTGCTGGCGGAGGCCGGAGGATCGGGCGGCGGCGGCGGCGGCTGAGAGGGCGGCGGCGGGAGCGGAGCGGGACGAGGGAGCTAGAGGAAGCGAGCGAGGAGCTAGTGGAGCGCGCCCAGCCCCGCCCTCCCTTCCGCCCGCCGGAGCAGCCGGAGCAGCCCGGGCCCCCAGCCGCCGCCGCCGCCGCCGCCGCCGCCGTCGCTGCCGCCGCCTGCCTGCCCGCCCGCCCGCCCGCCCGACAAAGCCCGAGAGCCCGCGCCCAGAGCCATGTCCTCGTCCTCCGGCAGCGGCCACCAGCCCAGCCAGAGCCGCGCCATCCCCACCCGCACCGTGCCCATCAGCGACGCCGCGCAGCTACCTCATGACTATTGCACCACGCCCGGAGGGACGCTCTTCTCCACCACGCCGGGAGGTGAGCGCCGGCCGCCCAGCCGCGGCCCCCCGCCTGCAGCCGATTTCCTCCGCCGCGTCCCCGCCGCGGGCCTTTAACTCAGGGCGTGTCCACGCCGGGCCGCCTCGGCCACCGCAGCTCAACCGAAGCCCCCCAACCTCTCCCCCCCCACCGCCCCAGCTCCACCAAAGCCCCCGGGAGACTGCTTTCGGGAACCCTAACTTCGCATTATCTCTTGGCTGCAACTCGATTCAGCGCGCGCCCACTCTGAGAACGTGGCTCTCCCGTCGCTTGGGGGGCGGGGGTGGTAGTGAGAAAAGCCCTTGTTCCAGCTTCGTGGCAGCTTTACGCGCTCGACCCAGTTCTCTCCCCCCTCTCTGCCTCCTGGGCAAACTCGTCTACACTTGGCCTTGCTCTCACCCTGCGTCGCCTCTGCTTCTTGCGTGTGCATTGTGCACACTAGGCTTGGCTTTGGAGCTCTTTCCCGGGCCTTTTTAGAAAGGAAGCTGGGCACAGCAGTTCGCTCCTGGGCCCCTGAGATGACTTGTTTTGCTGCTTTTAGAACAGCGGGAGGAGGCTGGAATGCAGAGTTTGGACGCCTCGCCCAGCGTTATCCTGCTTTGACAGCATTGTTTACTAGCTGGACGAGGCCCCACGGGTGGGGGGGGGGGCGGAGAATGAGAGAATGCTAAAGTAGTACGCAAGTAATAGCCGAGGGGGTAGTGGAGCGCTGGCAGCCCTACTGCACGGTTTTGGCGTTGAGCTTGTGGGGGTCCCTCGGATCGGCGGGATTGCCTGATCCTGGGGAAGGGGCAGCGCAGATAGAGCTTGCTGAGCATTGCTTTTCGAAGTATGACCAGGAACTGTTTACAAGGAAGAACCCTGGGGTAGAGGTGAAGCACGTTGGATTGGTCACGGGAAAAGGGAGCTCAAAGGTTGTCTGTCCCCTGACTGGGCAGTTCTCCAGAGGGAGGCGACTAGAGAGCGATCTTTCGGGACCTTACTGAAGGGCTGAAGGGAACGGCCCTGCGTTTTAGCTTCGGAACTTTGCCTTCTTTTGGCGATGGGGTGGCCTCTCGGGAGGGTTGAACTTTGCTGGCAGCCCCTGCCCTACGAGGTTGCTAGCTTCGCCGCTGTGGGCCGGCCCACCAGTTGTGCGACAACCAATCCGGTGCAGTTAGGCCTGGGCGATGCTTGAATTGGTTGCACAATAGCAAGGCCCATGGAGTAGGAAGACCTTCTTGCCAGCAACAAGGGAGAAGAATCTAGGAAGGGCGCTCTACTGAGGAATCCATCCAGGCCACCGTGGGGGGCGAGGGGACCCTGGAAGACTGTAAAGTGACCCCAGCAGCAGGAGTTCCTCAATATGTGCGTTGTAGAGAAGCTTTCACTTCGGCAGGCCAGTCAGATGACTTGGTGAGGCCACTTGCCTCCCTGGAGAACCCTCCCTCCTGACCTGATCTGTTCAAGGCCAGCCCCTGGGCATGCTGAGATCTTGCTTTCTGATCGTGAAAGATTTTGGCAGACCAGGATCTGCTCCAGATACAGTTGTCCTGAACTTGAAGTGACAGTTTTTAAGAAATGGGTATTGTTTTCCAAGGTGATAGAGATTATAACTTCTTGCAGAACTCTTTGTGTTAGCTATCAGTAAAGGCCTGTGCCTCCAGCAGTTGAGAACATATGTCATGGTAACAACTGCACTCAGCTATTAGTTACTTGGGGAAGGAGCTAAACTTGTAGCTGTATATTAATCATTATTCCCCTGAAGGAAGAGTTACTGAGGGGGTACCCCTTGGGCCTGTTTCAAACAACCAAGCTACGATGTTTTTAAAATAAGGGCATAGTCCTTAAGCATTGCTTTAAAGATAGAAACCTGGCTCATGGTCTGGATTAGTTCCTAAAATGCTTGGAAAGAGTCTGCCAGAAATACTGATTCATTTACCCTTCTTCCCAACTTACACAGCCACCACTGCTTTCTCAAATATCGCTTAACCTGTCTCCGGATAGTTTCTGTACACACAGGCTTTTTGGCTTAGATGTAAATACTTGTCATCTTAGCTCATTTATTATATTGAGCTTGTATTTATTGGTAGAGCAGGTTGTAATCTTTGGATGTTTTTGGTTTACTTGTTTGTTTTTTGAGAGAGAACGCCTGTATAGGGGCAGAGGGAGAGAGAGAGAAAATCCTAAGCAGGCTCCACATCCAGCAAGGAGCCTGTCTCCGGTCTCGACCTGACGCCATGAGATCGTGACCTGAGACGAAATCTGACGGACTCAGCCATCCAGGCGCCCCATCTTTGGATTTTTAACACAAAGACTTACATAATGTGTTTATAGGATATAGCACTGTTGGGATTGGATTTAATCACTGTTAACTCAGTGCTGTTTAGATGTACAGTACTTACTGATTTAATTTCCCCCTTTGGAAATTTTCCCCTCCTCTGACGGTTTTTTCATCTCGTTACATCCCTCTCTCTCCCACCATGTAGTTGGACCAGGGTGAGATAGTTTGTTATTTGGTCTCTTCCAGGCACCTGAATTAATGTGGTTAGGTATCTTAAATGAGTTTTGTGGGCCTCTTACAGTGCTTTGCACAAAAGAAGACCACAGACGAAAGTAGGAAATGCAGTCCTTGTTCTGAATGATTATAAAATCTTGAAGGGGGTTGGAGATTGATAAGATTTTTCATTCTAAAATGACAAAAAAAAGGTATAGAATCAAGTGCTAACATGTGGACACATTTAGAAAAATGATAGTAGGTTTGTATTGGAGATCTCTTTTTTGTGGGAAGGAAGGGGATTAGCGTGTCGTGTCTCAAACCTCTGGAAACCTTCGGGAGTGCCCTACACATGTTGGAGCATTCCAGGATAACAGTTGATGTGCTGAATGCCCTAAATGATCAGACTGGGCAGGGACTTCACAACATAGTGAACTCAGGATTTCTCCTCCTCTGAGACCACTTTATTCATTGGGGATCAGAGGAGACCGCTTATCCTTGAAAAGTTTTCTCAAAATTCTTTCCTGTGGTTTGGGAAATGAGAGCTGGGTGGAAACACACTTGCTGTGACCTTTGAAGTTCTCAAATTGCTAGAGAGTCCCTTTTCTCGTTGTTAAGGAGGAAAATTTTTTTTGAGTAAACTCAAGGCAAAAAAAAAAATGCCCTTGGATTTTACTTTATTTTATCTGCCTGTGGAGGAGTGAGAACGGGATTTGCTTCTTCCTTTGAGACTCTTCCCCTCAATGGAAGGGTAAGTTAACCATAGTTGTCTTCACTTTTGTAACACTTTGGTGAGCTGGAAGGGAGCTAATGCTTTCGTAAGCTCTGAACTTTCTCCTTCTGCGAATGTTGTGCTCTGGGAAATGAGCAGAAACAGAGAGAACTCTTTTAGCCTTTCTTTCTGCCTTTCTCTTCCTGCATAACATCCTCATGAGCTGTGGAAAAGTGCTGTTGCCTTAACAAAAGCACCAGAGGGGAACTAACTGATGGTCTGAAATCTCGTTCCTGCCGCCCTGCTTCCTCTGCCTGCTGGAGAGTTGCTGTGATTGGTTCTTTGAGGCAGAATTACCCGAAGGCCGTTGGAAGGGTCTGGAAATATAGGAGAGATGAGGAAGAAGGGAAAATAATCCACTTGGATGAATAATAAGAGTGTTGGGTGGGACTCCTAAGTTTTAATCTGGTTCCTTTCTTGGGAGACTAATAGAGTTCTGTGTAGATTTGGGGAAGGCAGGCCAGTAGCTGACTGTCCTTGGCCTTGTGGTTGGGTTTATTCTAGGCCAAACATTTCTGACCCAGCGAATGTACTTACTTGGCTCTCTAGCTTCAGTTATTAACCAAAGAACTTCATTACCACCTGTGAGAAGGACGTGAAAAGCGTAATGAAAGGTGTTCAGTCCCTCTGCCTTGTGTTTGAGGAAAATGGCATTTACTTATCTCAGGGTAATGCTAATTATTGACTGTCATTCTGTGGGAGATTCAGCCGCAGTCTCATATTCATCAGCTGCCAAGGTATACACTAAGGAAAACGTACTTCGGTTTTTATGTTGTGCATTTCGGCTCCCGAAGGACTGAATTCTGAGTCTGGGGGAAGGCAGCCTCCGCATCCTCAGGGCCAATAGCAGTGCCCGTCCTAAGTCAGGTGCGGTCCCACCAGGGAAGCCAGCGCTGCCGAGTGGCGAGGGTGGCATGCACGAAGGCCCTGTGCACAGCTCCTTCAGCTCTGCTCACGCCTGTTGTGGGCAGTAGGAAGAGGGCAAAGTGACGAGTCTGCAAACTGGCACTGGCAGGGTTACTACGAGAGACTTAGGACTAGAGTCCTAAAGGCAGTTTTGTAAGAGGGGTCTTGTGGGGTTTGGCCACACTGTCGGCTTGATCACCTGTATGTGTGTGTGTGTGTGTGTGTGTGTGTGTGAGAGAGAGAGAGAGAGAGAGAAGATTTGCGATCAGACACGGTACGGTTAATGTGCAGTAGGCTAGTCCATCTGGCTGGAGAGGAAGACAGCCTGAGCAGGAGAATAGTTTGTTGGTGAGTGGCAGGACTTTTTCTTGGCTTCCAAGTATTTGGATGAAAAAATTAATGTTCAAAAGATTTTTTCTGGGGTGCCTAGGTGGCTCAGTTGGTTAAGTGTCCAACTTCGGCTCAGGTCATGATCTCACGGTTTGTGGGTTTGAGCCCCGTGTCAGGCTCTGTGCTGACAGCTAGCTCAGAGCCTGGAGCCTGCTTCAGATTCTGTGTCTCTTCCTCTCTCTGCCTCTCCCTTACTTGCACTCTTACCTCACTCTGTCTCTCAAAAATAAGTAAATGTAAAAAAAGTTAAAAAAAATAATTTATGATAAAAGGCAGATGAAAATTGGGGTCATTCAACTTACTGAATAGGTAAGGCCTAGACTTCCATATTCAGATGTGTTCATCATGGAACTTTGTTTTATGAGGGTCCCTTAGAACCTGTGTTTTAACATCCAACAGCTGTCCATCCCATGGGTGACTAGTATTTAAAGATCCCCGTCACCTATTCTCAGGCTG